CACAAATGTAAGTTAAAAGTAAAATCTTTTCTGCTGCATAACTGTTTCTATACAATTAGAGACTATACTTATTATCAAAAAGAAAAATAATATTTATTTTAACAAAATGGTGATATGTATTGAATTAGTTTACATTTGTATTGTATACATTTTTTAATAAAGACTTAATATGTTTGTAACTTCAGTTCCGTGTCAATGACCACTATCTCGATCAGGTTTGTGTCCAGTTTCCCTGATCCATTGAGCATATGCTGAGATGGCCCCATGTTTTGCTTCTGGACGTAAATGAAGCCTCACTATGCGCACGTTTTGTTGAACTCTCCTTTTGCTTGTAATGGTAGGAGTAGAGGTAAGGACGAGTTTTGTTAGCCATGCAGAAAAATCATATTTGAAATTCGTTTACCGATGCAAATAAGTTACTCATCTTTCAACTATTTATAGTTAAAATGACAGGAAGAGATTCCGGAACTCAAGAAATGGTGCGCAGATAATCTTCTTCCCCATTCGCCACTTACAATTTTGAATGTTTTTTTTATTTATTTTTTTTAACTAAATAAATTTAAATCTAAGGTCTGATGTCAGTTTTCGGCGATACGTCTGTCCCTCTGTAACATCGTTTGAAAACATTAGCGCCTAAAATGTACTTACAATTTACAGTAAAATTGATATTGGCTGATGTGTCAGCAAACTGATTTTAAAATGAATCTTTTGATTGAACACTACGAGTATCAACATCGGACATTTTATGTTCCTCTTTTAACAGCTCGCTCATGACCTGATGTCCTCTTCTCTAATTTATATAATTCTTTTTATACCTTTTGATACGTTAGGGGCACTTACCTCTATCCTCCGCGTGGGTCCGGTGGCAGTAGGGAGGTATGTGGTGACCAGACGGCACTCACGAAACAGCGCTGTTCGAAACTTGTTCTGGAGCTTGTTCCTGAGCAAGCTGTGAGACACTCGTGCCATATACATGCGTTCGGCTGGGAGAGGAGTAGAAAGGAAAGGAAAGGGGTTATTGACGTGGTACTCCATGGTGGTTGGGATGAGCCCCACCATGCCCCAACATTAAAGCAATCATCCGTTCCGTAGGCAGGATTCAAACTCCCCTCCTCCGCGACCTTCCGAATCCAGACTGGGAAGCTCGTCTCGGGTACCAGTGCGGCGAAGCGGATCTTTAGGATTTGAGGATTATTTTTTAGTGAAATATGCTCACAAATGGCTCCAACATTTTTTTTTATTAAATGTTGTGCTCGAATGGAACAATAGACGATTATTAAAATTGCGCAGATGTGAATTTTCTTTGAAACAACTAAATTTTCGAAAATTACATACGTTGAATTGAATTCAATTGATGCCTTATTTTACGTGGCGAGACGAACGTTGAGAAAGCTCTGCAAAGCTGTGGAAAATCGATTTCGAGATGTTGACTGAAATACAAGTTTTGTGACCGCCTGACACTGCAAAAGTGGCTTAATATAATTTTTGGTATACGTACGTATGTATATGTATGATGTAATAGTATAGGGAGCGAAAGAACGGCCCCACATTTTTCAATCAAAATGAACATACACAGCCTGTTAAAAATTACACGGACAAAATCAATACCCTGGTAGATTTAAATTTTGATTTATTCAAGCAGTAAAAAAAACAGTAAAAACTGTATGTGACGTAGAAGAGAAAACATTATCTGCGCACGTTTTCTTAAGTTTCGGAATCCCTTCCTATCGTTTTAACTATAAATAGTTGAAAGATGAGTAAAAGTTTAAAGTAAATAAATAAAAATTAATTTTAAAAAATCGCGAGATTAGCAATATTTGAAAAAATACACATTTTCGTTTCCGAATTATAGAAAACTTATTTGCGTCGGTAAACGAATTGCAAGTATGATTTTTCTGCATGGCTAACAAAACTCGCCCTTACCTCTACTCCTACCATTACAAGAAAAAGGAGAGTTCAACAAAACGTGCGCATAGTGAAGCTTCATTTACGTCCAGAAGCAAAACAAGGGGCCATCTCAGCATATGCTCAATGGATCAGGGAAACTGGACACAAACCTGATCGAGATGGTACGAACAAATCGACTTCCATATTATAGGGTCACTATCTAAAAAATCTTATAATACAATTATTTTAATGCTAATTCAAATTTCTCGCTCGTAATGTTGAATGTTTCTTATTGGGTGGATTTACATCAATCTAACGGTGGATCTAGCATCTGGCAATCCTGGTTGGAAAGAGTGTGTGGCAAGTCCGAATAGCTAGCCCAGACCAAAGAAAATAGAAAACAAATACTAGGAAGTCAGTTCCATTTGTAGCACCACCTGTTAACAAATATTTGTCGCGTCTTCGTCGACACAACGCGTCTCTGAGTCCCTGTTGGGCCTGGAGTTAATAGCGTGGCGCAGAGTAATCTTCCGTTATTATTTTTGTTAAGACACGTCACGTCGTAGTCAGTTCCTTTTATCCCTTCGGTCAGGGGCTCGGAGCCGTTAAATCCCGGGTTTTCAGACGTCACCCAACCAGGAACTCGCGAAATCTCGAATACATTTAAACTCCGTGACTTCACAGAGCTTAGGTAAGGAATTCAACAAGCGACACCGGCAATTCCTAATGTTCGAAAATTGCGAAAAAATGTTAGCTGTTTTTGCACCACTAGCTTTAAGAAAATTATGTTTGAATGCTTGAAGTAGAGGCAGTCGTAGTGGTGCACGAGTTCGCAAAAATGTTCGGACGCGTTTTCACTTTTGATTCATAATTATGACAGTATATGTAAAAATGCAGAGAGACACAAAATCTGGTCGGGCGTAGCTTGAGACGCCATTAAAGATGGCACAAAATATCATAAATTTGTCTCAGAAATATCCTTAAATACTTTTTGATATCTTGTACCGTTTTGGTGTTAAGGTGCACTGTTTGATGAAGTGAAGTAAGAAGGTGATATAAAATGGTCTTTTGAAGCAACTTTTAGGAAAGTGCCCCGTGATTCCGTCTCTGATTCTCATGCAATTTTGTATGCCGAGTCCCACATATTTCAAATGAACTTCTTTGGAGGAATAGCTTTATACGTGCAATGATTTTGTAGATATAGCGGTTTCTTTGACACCATTTTACAGTACGACCATTTTAGATTTTTGCAACTTTGCGAAACAATACTTCATTCTCCGTTATCACTAAACATATGACGTATTAGCAAACGAAAATCATTCAGTAGGTGACATTATGTATTTGTGTAAATTGTAAGCTTTTCACTATTGTTCTGCAGGCTTGGATGGTATTTGCAAATGTATTGTCTAGTTTTTGCTAGACTTGACTAGCTCTAGTAGCTTCTTTAGGTATTGAAAAAATGAATAATAAAAAAACTGTTAATTTTACAGGTTATGTTCATTGCATTGTAATCAATTTATTGCCTGTCAGGCTTGTCTGACACTTGATATGTCGTTATTAGCTTAAATATTCATGCACGTGCATCATTATCATACGCCAAGCTAACACCAAATATATTTATATGGCCACGAATATTGTTGGGCAATAATTTCTCAGTGTACGAAACACAGTTTTGGAATGTGGAATTATTGATGATATATTAGCTTTTAAATAATTTGCACTAATCACACGCTACGATTGTAATGAGTGATGGCTTGGATGTGTTAATATGGATAAAAAGTTTGGTACTATAATATGAAAAGTAACTTACAAATTTGTAAATACGTGGTGTTGTAGCAGAAGTTTACTTGTGTCATTGTATTCTCAACGGATGTTAACTAATTTGTGGCGTAAATGTTCTTTGTGACAACGTCACTTGAATTTTCTGGCCGCTTCCGATGTCGTACTGCCCTGATTTTTGAAGCAAGACCGACGCGAGTGCAAAATATGACAACGGGAGTATTTAGGTAAATACGCAGACACAGAACACCATAGACCTTTTCACACTGACCTCATTGTCCTACAGAAATCGATGACACAGTTGCAACTACGAACAACTTCGTTCTTTGCTCTTTCTATAAAACTGTGGCGCTGTGTTTGCGTCGTCCCGGACAGACTATACGTAACCAAGCTGTCCGCAACGGAAGCTTCGCGCAGGGGCTCGCCGCGAGCGCGGGGACAGCAGCGCGCACGCCCAGGGGGCGGGGTGCCCGCGGCGACGGTCGTCGCCCTCCGCCGCCGCCTCAGTTATTGATTAAACGATCCGCGGGTAAATAATAGAGGGAAGATCGAAACGCAGTGTCGCGACGCACGTGGACAGCCGTGATTCACGCTCGTTCTGCGATCCAGCGAGCCCAAGGCAGAGCACACGGTGTACAACCCGCGCTCTAGGAAGTGTCGGTTTCCTTCGAGCTGGACCGCTAACAGGCGTGTCTGCTAAGCCTGCGACGGACCTCTGATTTTCGGTCGAACGCCCTCGGCGCGTGGCGCTGCAGCGAATGCAGCCCTTGCCGCGAGTGATTCCTTCGAGCCGAGGGAAAAGGGCTTGCGAAGAACCGTGGACGAGAGGCAGCAGGGATTAACACGTCGTGCATGGGGCCCTTGGGGCTAACACGCTCTCCCAGGTAGGTTATAGTAGGTATTGTGTGAAAAGATAACATGCGCGGGAATTAATATGTTATTGTTTAAAGAAAATGACAAATTTTATTCGTTATTTATATCGAATGCAAATGCGATTATTGACAATATTTTCTAAAATGTAGTGTTTTATTAAAAGTTATGTACGCAGAAATTAACCGTAAAATCGAGATTCTTTGTTAGGAATTTGATGTTTTCAAGATACTGTTGAAAACTGCCTTGATAAGAGTTTTGGATGTGAACAAATGCCTGTAAATCTGTTTCTTTGTCCCTTCGTCCATTGCTCCATTTGTGAGGATAATATTTCGTGAGCACATAATTCTTGATCTTGATTCTTAACGGTTTCTTGGAGTTTACACAACACTCGTGTTTTCAAAATGAAATAATGCGGTGAGCAGCAATACTGATTTCGATGAAGTCTGTGTATTTGCGGAGTGCTTTGTGTATACAAATCGCATTCTATAAATTATGATTGTTTTTTAATGTTGCGGCCAATTTTATCTGGGACAGTCCATGTCGAATCGAAAATTGTTTTGACTTTAGGTGTTCGAAATTGATTGAAACTTCTTGAATGTGTTCTGAGTGTAACTAAAATAAACTTAAAGGTTTTAGTTAGAATTTAATTTCATAATTTTGGAATTAATGCCGCATGAAATTTTCCGAAAAAGCACAAACAAATAAAAATGCTTATTTCTCGTGCTACATTGGTCGTATAGAACTGAGATTAGTCTCAAATAGAATCTCAAACACACTTATTTCAGACTAGTTATACCTGGATTTCGTTAAATTGCGATCATTCACTAAATCTGAAATCATTTTACAAATTTCCCAAAAATAAAATGTCATTTTAAAAATGAAATTATAGTCTCAGTTTAATGAATTTCAACTCTTCAAAATTTCAAATTGGGATATTTATAAATAATATATATAAAAATATTAAGTCAACGCGTGCGCAACCACGTTGTGTACTGCGTACTATTTCAAAATTAGTACTTCGAAGAGTGAAGTTCGGAATGAAACTTGGACCCTGCATAATCTTAAAACTTTTTTAAATGTGTAGGTTTGATAGGAGCTAATTTTTAAAGCTACAGGTCTGGAGGAATGGTTTTTCGTTTTGTTGCTAGTAACTGGCTATCAATGTCGAAGTCCTCATGCCGTCATCGGCGGAGTCGCCGAGGGCAGCTCTGACCCTTCTTCGACATCCAGATGAGCGTCCTCGTCAAGGTTTCCGCCAGCATTTGACTTTTCGGGGGTTGGGTTCCACTGCAGCCGCGTGGGAACGGGACACGCTGAACGGGAGATCCAGTTTTATTTGCGAGATGCGCTGTGACTGTGTGCAGAAAGTGTAAATCGTGTTTACCGCAGGTTTTTAATCATTTGTGTTAGACATCACAATGAGTAATATCAAGAACCCAAAAACACTACTTTGTTTTGGCCCATTATAGCTAAAAAATCATTGTGAAAGGAATAGTCGTGCTACGGAATGACAATACTAGTTAATTAGTTCTCGTACTAGTTAATTTTCAAATGTCTTTGGTCTGGGTCACTTTTTCGGTCTTTCCCCGTTGTCTTGACAGCTGTCATCTATTGAGGCCCAAAGTACATTTTTTTTAAAAGTCTCAATTTTTCGGTTTCCTAATAGCACTGAACTCATACTTCAAGAATATTAAAGAATACTAAAACCTCATATACGGAAACATTCGTTGAAAAATTTGGAGCCATTATTAAGAAAATGTATTTGAAGCGTTACTATAAATGCGAAATTTGAAGCTATTTTACATAGCAATCTTTTGGGTTTTTGAGAAACTTCATTAGAAGTCTTTTGAAATATCAACACTCATAAATGCAATAAGGTATACAAATCGCTAGAAATGTGTATATTAAAGGCGTGAAAGGAATTTAAAAAAGATTGTAATTTTTGAAAAAACAAAAGAATACAGAAAAATAAATTTTGTGTTCTTAAAGAGTGTATTTAACACTATCCGTACAAAAAAGTTAAAGAAAAATATTTAAGCCGTTTTTTAAAAAATGTTGTTTGAGCATTTCCGAAAATGCAGGATTTTGAGCTCATTTTCACAGAAAAGTGTGAGTGTTCGAGAAACTATATAAGCCATAATTTAAAGCTCATATACTAATAAATGCAATCATGTGTAAAAAAAGTGCTAATGGAAATATTAACGACATGGGAGACAAGTCAAAATCATTACATTTTTGTAATTTTTGAAAAAAAATAAAAATAAAACGACAACCAAACAATAGAACAATATGAAGTTTATGTCATCTTATAGAGTACATTATCACTATCTCTACCAAAATTTGAAAGAACAAATTGGAGACTTTTCTAGAAACTCTTGTTTCTATTATTTTTTAATATTGCGCGGAAATACTAGATTTTCAAACAATGTACATGACTTTAATGCAAGAACTAAATACAGATAATAAATTTTATATGAAGGAAAAATCTCTATCTTCAATTTTGTTGTTGTGGGAATACGCCTGTAAAAATGCAAATTTTTACAATTTTCGAAAATTCAGAGTTCTTAGTAAAAAACGGAACTATGCCATCTTATAAGTAAATTTAATCTATTCTTTCATAAAATTAAAAGAAAATAATTGTAACCAATTTTGAGAAAAATGTTGAAATGTCCCAGGGGCTTCATGTACAATACCCGTCCCCCAAATTAATGAATTATTTTCAAAATCGCAGCGCTTCGAGAGAGGCGAAATCGCCAGGGGTTTATTCAGTTTGGAAAAAGTCCTACGTATAGTTTAGGCTCTAGTGTCGTTCACAGACAGAGAGATGGACGGACGGACAGGCGGACGTTTGGAAAACACCAACACTTTTCGGTATTAGGGGAACCCAACAAGTGTATATTCGATGAAATCTTGAAATTGATTTCCGGCAGGATTACAAAACTTTCTCAATATCACGTAAATTACTCCGTATGTACGTACGTATATGAAAAGTAACATATTTTCGTGTATCTATTATCGTCTCCCAGATTATTTCAGTAGTATACATATCAGACTCTCATGACAATCAATCTTTACTCGTGAGGTCTGTAAAGAAAGAGAATTTCACGAAGACTTGACGAAATGCATTTTAGCTTTAAAATGTGAAGGATCTGTTAAAAAAACAAATCTAAATATTCACATTAAAAGAACACCTGCAACGCTCGATAGCATTGTCAAAATGTATGTAGTTAAATAACTCTTAAACAAATCGTTGTATGGCATTAAAAACCAAATTTTGAGGCCTAGTGTCTCAAAGAAATGTTTCTCACAATGTATTCTTTAGGATGAGTCATTCAATTACATATTGCTGGTTTGGCGCTTATCGATACTCCCAATGCCACCTAAATTTCAGTCTTTGGTACTGGTGGCCATCTTTTTGACGGCACACTTAAAAGGCTTAGATTCCTCCTACTAATATTTACGCTTTCAATGTACGTGTTTTGCGCAACCTGATGAGATTTACTTGCATCATCATTTATTCGCATTTATTTTTTCTCGCAGCAGCTAGAAGAATTAATAGTTGCTTGATAACGATGAAGATAGTTTTTACATTCTCGTACGTATACACGGAGTAATATACGTAGTATAAAGTTATGTAATGCTACGATCATTGGCAAATGCTGTGAAATTTTCTTAATTTTTCGGTTTCTTGATAATAGAAGGGAAATATTATTTAAGGAATATTAAATAAGAGTAAAACCTCTTCCTAAATGTCAATTTTCTTTGAAAAATTTGGAGCCGATTTCTAAAAAAAACATTTAAGCGCTACTGTAAATTTAATATTTGAAGCTCTTTTTCACAGAAGATTTTGGAGTTTTCGAAAAACTTCATTTTAAGTATTGGGAAGCACATTAACTCATAAATACAACAGTGTTTACAAGTTGTTATAAATGTGAGTATTAGCGGCTTGAGATCTTTCAAAAGAATTACGTTTGAATAATTTTTGAAAAACCAAACATTAGTCGAAAATGGACTTTGTACTAAAATACTAAAAAGTGCTGCCTTTCATTGCGATACTATTTAAAACTCAGACGTCATATTCGAAATTAGTGATTGTGTTAATATTTTCATTATTTATCAAGTAAAGAAATTGAATTTCAATATATATATATATATATATAATAGATAATATATATATATAATATACTATCAATATCAAAATATATCAGCATATTAACAATTTTAAAATTACTTCCTTCAACAAGGGTAGTTTTGTACTACGGAGAGACACATTTCATGCAGAGGTATAACTCACGACATTCAACCAAGATAATTGCTTGAGGTGGAAAATTTGCTCGGACTCTTGGAATATTCAGAAGAGTTAAGGGAAATTGGACGGGATTTTCCATTTTACCCCATCTGTTCATATTGACCAACCAAACTTCGCAATTTTTTCGAGTCTTTCGAGGAGGAGGCTTATTCTGAAAGTTGTTTAATGATAGATTGTGTTAAAGTTGGTTAGCGGGAAGTAAACTGGACATCACGGAATCTGATTAAGGGCTTAAAATGTTTCGTGTACATGGAAAACTGAAAAATAAGAAATAGTAGCGAATGCAAACCAAATTATCATTTTGACATTTATACCTTCGATGAGTTGATATTGAAATGTGAATGAAATGCGAAAATATTATCGTGCTAGCTTGAACTTCACATCTTTCCCACGGAAAAAAAAATGTCATTGTAATGATATTACCAATGCACCGGGAAGCAGATATGCAGCGAACTGCGTGGGCTGGTACTGGCAGTTGACATGAAAGTTCTTTCGCACTTTTAGTGTCCCTTTAAGAGTTTGCAAATGCATCATGAAATGAATCATTCCTGTAATCCGTCGGGCCCACAACCTTGCACAAGTAAACTTCTGTAGATACTTGACTACAAATTTTCAGCCTGGTTCCAAATTCCAAGTAAAAATAGTATTATTGCGTATTTGTCGCCAAAGAAGTGCTGTCGCGGCAGTGCATTTCGAAACATG